TGGATTTGGAAGATTTGGATGAAAAGATAGATTTGAGAGAAGCTCAGAGTCCTAGTCTACTCACAGAATTATGAATTTATTTAGTGCTAGGAAAGATAAGTGTTGATGGACTACTATGATATTAAATTAAACTCTTTATAGCCCATTTTTAACTTATTTACTGAAATTCATACATTTGTTTAAATGTTAACTGAGTATGCCACTCTATCTCTTCCCCACCTATTCATGTTAGGGGCAGATAAAAAGATTCCTAAGGAACAAAGGAAGAAAAGCACAAGTATTTTTAAACCAGAAAAAGGGGTTGATGGTGTTGACAAGACAGACAGATCATTCAGAAATGAACGGAACTTCACTTTAATTTTGAAGAACAAAAGGAGTACTCCTATAGTAAGGAAGTAACAGGATACCAATCTCTTGAGGACTGGGATTGAATGTTATAAATTCATTTTCCTAAATGCTGATATGTAAGAAAGAAACTCATGTGCTGTGAGAATGATGAAACATGATAAACCCTTATGTCTAGAAGATGCAGCTCACAGGTGTCAAATGTACGATGTCATGTTGTCATCATGTGACAGATCACAATTTTTTTCACCTTCGCTAAACTGGGGGTGGAGGTGGCCAGTGCGTGATGCATTCATCCCGCGGGCCGCGAGTTTGACTCCCCTGATGTAGCTGAAGAAATGTTAAGGTGTGCTTATGAAGTGGCCATGTGACATGTTTAATGTGTGTGAAGATTGACTCTGTAATTGATTATTGGAAGAAAGGTAATGTTCATGTATAGAAATGGAAATAAAGCACAAGTTAATGCCAAAAGCACAAGAGTGTTAAAATTGAATATGCAGCAAATGTTAGACTACATGACACAATCAGGAATATGGACAGGAAAATTAGTTGTCAAAATAAGTTGCGTTTTGAAAAGGAAAATGGAGTGAATATTTGCATAGGTGAACTTAAATGGCAAACTTCAAGCTGATAAAACTATGTACATTCTGCCAGTGTCTACCATTTTCATTTCTTTCAACAAACATTCATCCCTCATAACAGACCATAAGCCACCCGCCCTCTTTCTATAAGCGCATCTTAATATTTCTCTATTTGGTTCCCACCTCTATTAAATAATTAATTACTAAATAAAAAAAATATATGAGGTCTGACGTGAGGAATGAATGTTTGTTGAAAGAAGTGAAGATGGCTATAGATCCTTGGATGCTTTTGCCCACTTTGCTAGATGAAAGTAAAAGTTGGGAGATATCAGAAAAACATAAAAATGGCAGGGGGGTTGAAATACCGAACCAGTATATGTGGTAAAATAAGTAGACAATTAAAAAAAAAATGAATGGGTGCTTAGTGAATATGGATTTAATATAAATGCAAATGACAAGTATAAAATATGTATGTTGGGGTTATGTAGTTGTAGAAAATGCAACAGGAATTTATAAAAGTAGAATGAATGGGGAAGAGGAAAATCAAGTAATGTGTAGGATNCTCACACTGAAAAAAAATTAGAGGGAACATTGGAGACAAGATGGTTTGAAAGATATTAGTCACTGTAAAAAAAACTAGTTTACAATTTACAGTACTTAAATCTTCTGTAAGGAAATTCAGTTTGCTAGTACCCCCACTGATATAGTACCCAATATCAAATCCAAACTAACATCATGGACATGAACAATTTTATCTGCAAAGTATTCATTGATTAACTTTTCACCAGGCCGTTACTAGAAATTATTTAAATAGAAACCATGAAAACTATTTGTTTAATTCACCTGCCTCTGTTTTTGCTCTTTTCTTCCTCTAGTTTCATTGCGCTCAATTTCCCAATGTAGTTCTGGACAACAAAGATTTTGCTTCCTGAATACTTTTGCTTGTATCTTATAGATTTTTGGCTACTAATCATGAAAATAGCCTGTAATTTAAGTTATCACATCGTTATCGTTTTATAAAATTCTTCTGTTGTTATACAATGACTGTGTATATCCTTCAGTACCTGTTGGCTATGCTGCACATATGAAAGAAACATACAAAGAGATGGAACTGTGGGTAGATGCACATCCAGTAGATCAAATGTAAGATATCTAAAATTAGTGGCTATGCTGCTTGGAATACATTTGATGTACCAAGTACTGTTGTTATTTATGTGAATGGGACAGTCATGCAAGACAGTCACAAACAAATAGCCACTCCAAAAGAATGTGGTTTTAGGACAGAAAAACATGTAAAAGGCATTTATTGAGTGGACAAATATATATTTTGCCTCTGCTTCACATAAAACTCTAATGAAAAAATTTCTGAAAGTGGTGAACAAGGAAGATGAAGTTTTTTTTCTTATTTGAGACAGATATTTCCAAGAATAACTAATGCCAAAATTAAATAAGGCATTTTTGTTGGTCAGATACATACTCAATGACAAGCCATTCAAATATCTGTTAGTGAGGCCCGAGAAAATTGCCTGAAATGCATACAAAAATGTCATTAAGAATTTTCTTGGCAGCCACAGAGTATCAAATTACATTTAGCTGGGTGATAAACTTCTAGCAGCATACTGGACTATGAAGTGCATGTCACTGAAGATTCATTTTCTGCATTCAC